GTGTCCGTGTTCTTGGGAGTGGGGAGAGTGCACATTTTGTGCTGCGCCTAGGTTCCCCTAGACCTGGGCGTAACAAGACGGCATGTTTTCTGGTAACAACATGGTCCTGAGTGGATTCAATACTTTAAAGTATTTTTAATATTTCCAGCTTTATTCCATTTACATGCACCCGGGTTCATTCGACATAAAAGCCGACCTTCAGAGGAGACGTCACAGCACGCTTTCTGAGAGATGGTTAGTGTTGGTACACGCTTTATGTTATCATGATGTCACTGTGTCACAATATTTGGAGAATTCATTTCATCACAAAAGGATCTCATTGAAATGTAGCTCCTAGAAAAGCCCCGGCCCGACAGAGATGTGTTCAGAAGTGTCTGCTCCTCATGTCAGTGCACATCAAATCCTAGAAATCTACTGCAGTCCTTGGAAATTAATTATTTCACAACTCTTTCAAATCCAAATGCAAGCTCTGACACAACACTGTTGAGATGTAAATACATAAAGCTGCCGTTACATTATCCCAGGACCTTGTGCAACCCTCAAACATCACACACAGCATCTCAGCCTTTCACAGGTAGAACTTCTCTGGGCTTAAAGGACGGACCTGTGAACCTGTGCTCCACCCCGTCAGAGACTCTATGACTCATCATAACAACCTAGTGAGGCTGTCCAACCACATCCTCTCTGACCCAAACCATGCTCTGAACACTGAATATGAACTGCTACCTTCTAACCGGAGATACAGGGTCCCACCATTCAATAAGGTCAGACTGAAGCATCCTTCGTGCATCAGTCAATCCTCACAGTAAACACAGAGCTGATCCCAGATCAGATGCACGCTGAAGGCTCTTTGAGCAGCTCTTCTCTCACTGATTGTGCTGTTAAGTTAAATGTTTGTTGTTTGTGTTTCATGTATTGTGTCTGGATACTTGTCTGTTGATGTTGGACATGGAGCTGCTGTGACGCATCTGACCAACAAAGTATTATCGTATCGTAAGAGTCCTCCAACAGCTGCAGATTCAAGGTGTTGTTGTTTTCTTCAGGTCTACTTGAAACACGTCCTTTTAAATGCTGGATGTATTTGACTAACATGACTAAGAGGGGGCAGCTCTAGAAAGCTAATTATTTTGCAACTCTTATGAAACCAAAATCAAGCCCTGACAAAAACAACAACAACAACAACAACAGTAGTGTTTAGTTGTAAACACATGGAGCGGTCAGTGAGCACACCATGCAGCTCTCAGTAATCCAGACACCATGCAGCCCTCTGACCTGAGATATCTACTCTGGGTTAGTTCTTCATGAAGCTTTATTCTTCTTGTTGTTGTTGTCTTTGTAGAGCTGTAATGATCAGCTGATCCCAGATATGTAAAGACAACACTTTGACCTTTTAGAAACTGATATTATTCACTATTTTCTGAGGTTTTATAGACCATTAATTATGTGCAAAACATAAGTTGTTTAGCATGTCACACGTCAGCTTTTAAATGCTGCTACTCCTCTCTTAGCCGTGGATGAATGCTTTATGCCTTTTTTCAAATGATATTATTACTGCCTTTTTGATGATGATGATGATGATGATGATGATGATGATGGCTACTTATTATTTGGTGTAACGCTGTGATTTGCCCACTACGGGACTACAGTTTTTAATCTAGATTTTAATCTGCTCATTTTTAATGAAACATTTCTCCTTTATTTGCTGATATTTTTACATTTCGCTCACTGCCCAGTCCTCTTCATTTAAATAGAGAGACCACAGCAGAGTATTGTGTAACTGTAGCCCCCCCCCCCCCCAACATGTCCTCTCTGCTTGTTATGAATCTTTGTGCTGCCGGTAACCTTTCACAACCACCCCCCCCCC